TTACACAGACAGACTATTTTGCAGACTGTTCCGACTGACTCTAATGTCAGAAAGAACAACCAAACTGTAAATTCACCATACATCGAAATATGTTTAATTTATATAAAAACTTATCCATGCCTGTACTATTGGTGTGTTCCTGCACAAACAGGTATAAATATATATTATAAATGTAGATCGAGCCTTCTTAAATTGTTAACCTATTTTTTCTAGTCTTCGTTGTGTCTCTCACTTAATTGGTCATCCTATTTTAACTCTTTCTTGCATGTCTCTTGAAATAATCTCCTTTCCGGAAGTAGATAAGGTGCTACTAATCCAAGTGGGTCAAACACGGACGATAACATAGAGAGCACACCTTTCCAAGTGACTGGCTTATCAATATCAACAACACTAAATTCAAAGGTATCAGAGTTCACATCCCATCGCCTACCTAATGTGCGTTCAGTTTGTAGAGTGTCATCAGGTAAATCTCGTACAGTAGGTGCTGTCTTCTGAAACTATATGCTTCAAAACGTCTAGGCTGTTCGAGACCCAACTAGTTAAACGAAAACCAACTTTAGCTAACACCTCGGTAGTACTTGTTGCGAATTTAACTGCAGACTCATCATCATCGAAAGGGGCTAGACAACAGTCGATGACGTCCAGCAGATCATCCGAACCAAACGTGGACACAGCCTTACGTAGAGCAAAATTAGCACAAAACTGGGAGGACGTGGCACCAAATGGATGGACTGTCATCCTATATTCTGACACATTACCCCAAGGACTATCATCAAACCACAAGAAGCTTAAGTGATCTCTGTCGGTCTCTGGCACCTTCACTTGTAGGAACATTTCCTCTATATCCGCAGCGACAACAACTGCAAACTTTCTGAATCTTAACAGCAGTCCAACTAATGAGCTCACGCAATCTGGACCAATATATAGATTATCATTCAAAGAAACTCCTTCGTGTTTCGCAGAACAATCGAACACCACACCGAGTTTACTTGGCCTCCTCTGGAACACTGCTGTCACAAAACTCCTTGTCATACATATTTCTAATCATAGTCTCCAGTTTGTCCCCATTGTTTTTAACCAGTGATGATATGTGGACCACGAGTATAGGTCCTCTCACTGTCTATCCCAGTGGTATTTTCATCGCGAACAGATCATCCCTACCTCCGTATCTCTATTCTAATACCTTGTGAGCTTCTGGTACACTACATCCAATGATTATTCTCACTATACTATCTTCGAGTGTTGGAAACGGTAGGTTACACAGGTGTGGATTACTGACAACCGTTTCACGACTAGGTACTATAGCTTCGCTTAGTTTCATACTGGAAGTAGTGTAAGCAGTACCTACGTCAACGGATTCTCCAGTTGTCAAAGGTTCTAAATGAAATGAAACTCGTTCACATATTAACGTTTTCGAAGAAATGAAAGTATTTTGGACCAAGCATTGTTTTGGTCCAGGTAGCCAGCTTAGCATCTATCAATGTAATATCTGAATCATTATCTAGCAACTCATATGTATCGGCACATGACCTTGGTCCTCTTACTCTTACAGGAACAACACCTAAGTAGACCTTCTGGAAGTCGTGCGGTGCAAAACTGCTATTACAATTATTAGAACTCCCCTGGTTCTTCAGTACTGTCAACAGCGGATGTAATCCTAATGAACCACTGTCACCATTCTCAGCCGTCTCACAGTTAAGCCTTGTGTGCCTGTCCTACAAACAGCAGAAGCATAACCGTTTCCTTTTCACAATTTGTAACATTTGAAGGAAACGAGCGCATTCACTAAGTATATGTAAGTTGCCACAGATAACACTCTTTCCTGAACGTCCAAAACTTTGAGAAATTCTCGTCACGAATGACTGTCTTACTCGCTGACCTCTTGGTTTCAGAAGCCGGATGCAATATCCTGGTGAATTTACTTATAATCCGATCAACATTATCTGTCACTAATCTTAAGATATATTGTCGAACCCTGGCTCAAAACCTTACTCTTCTAAACGGATGCTGATTTTTATGAACTTTCTTTATAAGCGAACGGGTAATCTCTTAGCAATTGCCTCAAGCGCATAACTCGAGTTCAATTCATCCACACAATTAAAGGAAACGAGAGTATTTCAGTACACCATTAAATTATCCAAAACGTTTGCGAGGTCCTCAGAGCTATTGTTTAACTGCGCACCATTACCCTTGACTGTCTCAAAAACATTCCTGGATATCACAAATGGCCTCCCAAACCTTTGTTCTCATGGTCTAAGTGTATCCTCTGTTAGGAGCCATAAACTTGCAGCACTGCATAGCTCTTGCAGCAACACCAGAGCAATACCACAATAAATACATCAATTTCATTTCATCATTTATGACAAAACCACTCAACATGACTTCAGACTCCTTTACAAACTGCGGTTAGTCAGCTGGGTTTCCGTCGATACACCGAGGCTCAAATTTTGGAAGTTTAAAACCCCTACTATCACTACATGGCTTAACGTGAACATCAATCTTGTCATGCTGAGTGTCATACACATCATTACAAATAACACGTAACTCATCATTACTCACTTTTCTGTCTGCTTCCGAAACGCTTCGTCCCTTTTTGGCCCAGGCGTTATTGAACGTTACCAAACAATCCAGAAAAGTTCCAAATAACACTCATCCAAAGAAAACTTGCAGACACGAGGAAATACCAATTGTCAACAAATGTTGCGAATAATTCCAAGAGGTATCAGAAACTCTCAATGTCCAGCTCTGACTACACTACACTAGAAGACCCTCAGCAACAATGTGCAATAAACAACGCGAAAAAACAGAACACAGATTGGTGACTCGAGAATCCTTTATTCTTGCACCAATATGGAACCAACTCTAAGGTTATTATACACGAAGTCTAAGAATAAATGTCGTGACAATTAATCACAATAATACTTCTGATGGTGCTTCTCCGTCTTCCAACCAACAGTGTACTATGGAACGATGACTGCAGTATCGGTGACTCCCGCCAAAATATGGAGTTGGTTTTGAGTAAACAACCATGAATTGATCGTTCATTCTTCAACCACATTGGCGTTACCTTCTCACTTTTCAGAATTCGATGATTTCTATCACCGTCTGGATAACAAGGATTTTGTCGAGAGAGGGGAATCCTTTAATCAAACCCGCATGGAAGAGTTTGTTAAAGATCTAAAAAGCCTAAACGCTTTGCGGGAGGATGAAGGCAGACTGATTTTGTGGCCACCGAAATGTGAGATTCCTCGTCTGCTTTACTTCAATGGTTGCACAAAGAGAAAGTGGATTGGGTGTTGAATGTCGTGGATATGGGACAAGTGAGGGAAATATATGTATATATCTGCACATTGTCAGAGCGTTACTTGTCTGCTTCTGTGCTTAGATTTCATTAGAGATTAATCAGTCAAATAAATGTTGTTTTTGGACTGAGTGATTCTTCTAAATGAGTTCATTGATTGCTGTCATGGTTTGACCAGAACACCTTTGACTCTGTTTTGACTGGAAGCATTCTTTCAGGTGTATGGTCAGTCTGCTACCTCAAACAATGAAGCGTCAGAGGCGTATTGGTTAGCTCATCTCTCTTACCTAAGACTACGTTTAACCTAATTACCGCTCATCGAATCGCTGCATTAATCGTAGCAACTGATCACTTGCTAGCTCGTGCTCTCACCTACCGTGTGTCTTTTTGAAAGTATGAAGTAACTAACTACATATAGGGGTTGATAATTCGGGACTGTCGGCAGCTTTGAATTTGACTTCTAATTCGATTAGTTGGAGGAGGAGGAGGAGGAGAACGACTAGTGTTGTGTGTCAACGAAGCTTAAGGGGACAACCGCTGGTGATGGTCTTACAGGATCTGCTATGGGGTGTGATTTTCCTCATACGGGAGAACCCACCGCACACAGTGGCCACTGTTTGGTATGTTGGTATGAATAATTTTGGAGATGGCCTTCGTGATTCCCATCCATCTTCTCTGAATTGAGATCCAGCGAGTTGTGACTGCCCGATGGCATCCGTTTCTCTCCTTTTATAATTCAAACATACGAACCTTTTTTGGATAGACATTCAAGAGCACTCAGTGGTTCCCTATGATAATGTCAGCCTCTATGTAACAACATCTTATTGCAGAAGAAAATGAAGCACTGAAATTTAGGATGATCCAATAACTGGGTCAGTGTATACTATTTAATTTCAATAGTAATTGGGACAGTATAGGCGTCAAGGGAGGTGGGCAATATCTGCTTAATTAGTTGAAATTTTTAAAAATTTCGCAGTATTGGCTACCAATCACCCAAGATTTGATTTTTAGTTCATATTTTCCCGCCATATACTCTGCTTCACTTCTCATTTCTTCCCTCCTTGTTAGCTATAATTTTTGCCATTTCTACTTAACATGTTGAAGAAATAATGGGGCGATATTTTTTAATATAGATTCTTTTGACTATCTGTGCTTTTCTTTTTTGTCTCGACAGCTCTCTTTCAGTCTATCGTCTTAGGGTCAAACTTTAGTCTTAAAGTAACTTATCGACTGAAAGTTCATAGAAGATAACTACACGATTTGTTGGCGCAAAAACATTATAAAACTGGCTGAAAAGGAGTTGACTGTTTTGATGAAATCCTAAAATTTAAGAGGCAACCGGATCAACTTAATTTTGTATCCGAATTGCTTCGGCAACCATTCGAATGTACTTCACAACACAGAGAAAGAAGCAGTCTGTCACTAGCTACACCTGTCTGATTAGCGGTTTTTCATTTCGAAGAATCATACAAATTGTTCATCCAATGAAGCACTGTTTAAACAGTGCATTCCATAAAGTTAACTTGGTTGGTTTTCTTATGATGCTGAACAAGTTGCTGATTTTAATCCAAATTATTAAAAGTATGATTTAGTGAAATTTAGATACAGTGGTCGAAATCCTGTTAGATAACTTTAAATAAATAGGTACTAAGGCGGAGGGTGAATTTGTGGACGATTATTTCATTAGTCTATTAACAGTTTTAGTAGAAAGCGCATTATTCGAAAGGATGAAATTGGCGTTTGTTTGATTAGTGATCGCTTCTTATTATAATATTGCTATTTAGGTTACTGGTTCGAATAAAGGCCTTGGTTATGGTATAATTAAAAGGCTTGCAAAATTTTATTCTGGAGAGTGGGACATATACCTGACAGGTATTAACGGACATAATTTTTATCTCAATATAGCGCGAAATGTTGAACGCGGTCAGGAGGCTGTTGAAAAGTTAAATAAAGAAGGTCTTTCCGTGAAATTTCACCAATTGGATATAACGGTTCCGGAGAGCAGAAAAGAATTTCTGTCCTACATAGCAAAAAATCACCCTTTAGGCATCAACGTAGCTGTAAATAATGCAGGGATTGCATACAAAGTTAGCCTTGTTTTATGTATAAGACACTGTAGGTTAACTCAACAGCTCCATTTGGAGAACAAGCGAGAGTTACAGTTGGAACCAATTTTACATCTACAGTTGACTTCACGGAGGAGTTCATTCCTTTATTAGCCGCAAATGCTAGGTATCATAAAATACTAAACTTACTTTTTTAGAGTAGTCAATGTTACTGGGAGTATTTTCCTGCCTTCTCTGAAGAAGATGAATAAAGAACTATACCAGAAAATTCGTGGCCCTATGACCATTTCCGAACTCAGAGAATTTATGGCAGAGTTCGTAAAGTAAGTGCATCCATCTGTTGTAGTTTTCATTTACAATAGTGAAAAATTACTGCAATAATTTGTTTGGTATTGAATCCATGTCTGGTTTGTATTTTCACTTGCAGTTACGAATATTTGAAGTGCTGCGAATCATCTGGGGTTCCAAACTTGAAAACCATTTGTTTTACTTATAAGCATGTCGCGTAACTACAGCTTTTGTAACTGTTAAATGCATATTTAACAACTATATAGGACTTAGCATTTCGTCAAAAACCTGTGGAAAATGATCGGCAAATCGAGTGGCGAATATTCGCATTGTTGACAATATGAATGCTTAAATATTCCCCACTTACCATATCTAAATTCGAGTTGCATTTTATGTCCTGCGTCAAACAAGCTTTATAGCTACGGAAAAGCCATTCAAAGGCAGTAAAGTATTTTTGCACTGAATATGTCGATGGAAAATTTGTATCGGAATATTTGAGCATCTTGCGATGATGTCGTCCTTACAGGGTAGTATTTTTGGTAGGAATGGCTTTACAATTTGAAATGAAGTTGTGACCTTATTATGTCACAGTAACACAGACGGAAGTGGGATAAGGTTACCGATACTGAATACAGATGCGCTAATCACGAATACCACTTGATTACTCCAACATTTTACGTCAGCTACCTGTTCCCCTTCAGCCTGCTTTACTGGCGGCAAAACACTACGACGTGCAGCCGGGTAAGAGCTCACGGCGAGTCGTCATCTGGAGTGGTATCCGTCAGGGATGCCCACAGTCCCCATTCCTATTTAATTTCATCATAGATGTACTAGTGGAATTAAACCTAACTGCTGACTTCAGCGACTCAGGGATTGAATTGTTACCACCAGGGAATAATATCCCTGACTCAGGATATGTGAATGATAGAGTCCTTCTAGGTGAAGACGCTAACAGAATGCAGAGCCTTCTGAACACCTTGAGCTACAATCTGTGAATGTTTGGCATGTGACTCGCTCCCGCCAAATGTAAGATGATGCTACAGGACTGGACTACATCAACCCCTAGCGTAGAGATAGGGAGTGAAGTGGTAGAGCGTGTTGACCACTTCGCTTATTTGGGAAGTTGCATTGGCCAACGCCAGTTGATTGGCGTTTGCATATGCCAACTTACTTCACCTCTGTCATAGACGCGATATCCGGCTATTGACCAAAGGATATGTGTAATGCACAGCAGTTGGCTCTATCCTCGTTTATAGTTGCGCGTGAGATATGACCACTAAAAGTGGAAGACACGAAAAATCTAGCTGTCTTTGATCATAGGTGTTTGTGTTCTATTTCCCGTGTTAGTTGGCATAATAGGGTGAGTAATATTGAAGTTAGGCGTCAAGTGTTAGGTAAAGAGGGGGAATCAATAGACGAGGCTGTGGAGTTACATCGATTGAAGTGGTTAGGACGTGTTACGTATGCCTAGCCATTGTCTTCCTCGACGGGTAATGTTAGATGAAATAGGGTCACGTTGGAAAAGAGCCTATGGCGGTCAAACCAAAACATGCCTTCACCAATCAATGAAATCCACAACAGTTAGTTTAAGCCAACCATTCACGTGGGGAGGTGTAGACTTCCTGGTTGGGATGCTCGGGACGGTAGAAACCAATGAAGACTGGATACAACTGGTGATATGGCTCAAAATCGTTCTCAATGGTGCAGATGCATCCCCTCCTTCTGACTTACAATACCGAAAAAACTAGATTCTTCAATATTCCTGTTCTTTTTGCCTCATATCTCTGTTTACTGTCTCTATTTTGCATTTCTTTTTACTTCTCTTGTTTTTGTGCTATGTAAGGTGTGGTGACTTGAACTGCTGCACATCGGTGCAAAGTTCTATGTTGAAATCAGTCAGTCTGACACAAAGACGTGAGATTAAAGTATGTTTATCAGTATCCATATAAGTACATTTACGAACGAAAATCAATGGTATATATATATATGGGCAGTGGCGCGTGCTTGAGCAAAGCTATCCATATGCATACATGTCTGGCTTATTTCCAGAGTGACCTTGATCACCATATAACTACAGAAGGGTAATCCATTGTTTGTATGTCTATATATCACAATTTGACTAAATTTGGATCATACATATGAACATATAGTCGCTTGTGTAACCTTAGAATATCCCTTGAAGATGCAAAATTGAGCTTCAAATTAGGATCCACTATATTCAAATCATACTGAGTGCCTTGATCAAATACAGTTGTAGGCTTTAGCTTTGATTAACTCTCCAAGGGAGTGGAAACATTCAAGCTTAAGTGTAACTGAAGCAAAATCACACATAAAAGCAGAAATTTCCTCAGTACATAGCAACATGTCCTAGGATAAACGCTGTCAGTTAAAATTGTTCGTAACCCGAAAGCTAGACATTAAAGCAAGTGCCGTAAATCTCATCCTGCTTCTAAACCTTTCCATGAAAGTCACTTAAGTATTTGACCCTGTCTCGGTTGGGATTTCGCCGCTAAATGTACTGCATTTTAAACACTACTGTCATCCAATTTGGTTAAGGATATGCCAAGGGCATGACTATTAAGAGACTCTAGACTGTATAATCACTCATTTGTTTCTAAACCTTTTTTTCTCCTATTTTCTCATTAGGTGTGCAGAAGATGGTACGTATTCTGATAAGGGTTGGCTACCGAACGCTTATGCTGTTTCGAAACTTGGTCTTACTAAAGCATCGCAAATCTTTGGTGACATGCTGAAAAGTGATGCTAGACGTATCATATTTAATTCGGTTAGTATTCCACATATATATATATATATATATTATTTTGCTTCGTGACTTGACGATTTGAAAATTCTATGTTCTGATATATAATTCTTTTTTGTTGTTGATATTTTTAGTGTTGTCCGGGATATGTGAACACTGAATTAACCAGTCACAAGGGGGTTAAAACAATTGATGAAGGTAAGTCTGCCACTTGCTACTTAACTGTAGATTTTACTTTTCATATCAATGTGATCTTGGCTGTTCTAAATGGTAAAAAGCTTCTGTCATCTTAGTAACTATTATAGTGGGAGAATGTAATGCAATATAAACTACCTTGCGGACACTAAAATAGAGTCAAAGTAATACATATAGTCACTTATAAATAAGGTTAACAGAGTTATAGTCAGGGAAGTAATATTTCTTCTCAACTTCATTTTCAGGCTATGAAGTCGTGTTTATAACACGTACAGAAATCAAAACCTAAACTCTACCTTATCAAATATCTTGTAAAGTGGCTGAATAAATCTTCTCTTTCGTTAATCATTTAAATACGGAACCAATAAGACATAGGAATCAAAGTGAGAATTGTATGCATTATCATAAGTCTAATGATACTGTGCAAGGACATGTAATAAGTCTGAATTAATTTTGGATCATCACTAGCTAATAACCTACTCTTGTAAATGCTATTCTAGTCGGTCTGCCAACTACTTTCGTGTTACGTGTAACATGTACTCCTACTTTTGTTTTATTTTAATGCTGACAAGTGTACATAAAGGTGTTACTGTGCCACTAAAAGTTGATCATATAGGATTTACTTGTAAGTTATGCTGAAAGTGATTATATTAATATACAGGAAGGTAGTTAACGAAAAGTAACTAAATTTTTATTAATTTAATGCTAGATTCACTTTTTACTTTATTCTGATGTCTGGTCATCTTGAAGAGTATTGCTGAGTTCAGGTAGGGGATGATAAAACTGTTGAGAAAGACCAACCTGGTGTTTAGCATAAACATACACAATCAAGAAAAGTCTACAGGAATTGGACACCTTAAAATAAAGAACAAATGTGAAAATGGAGTATTTCAGTATGGCTCGTCAACTGAATGCTCAAGTTATATGATGCTAAGCCTAACTCATGTATGGAGATGTGACTCACTGTGGCTTGAGCACTCGACTCTCAACCTGTGGGTATCGGGTTCGAATCTCCTCTCCGCCAATTTCAGCTTGCGTGACTGGTTAGTATCACCAGCTCTCAAAGATTAATTGTGACTTATAGCCTACTACATAGAAAACCTGTCTTGGTTAACCAATTTTTAGCTGGCTAACATACGTACAAACAAAATAGACGTGATGATAAAGACAGTTACTGGATTCAAAAAGTATATAACGAATAAAAAGTCAGTGATAACGAAGTTACAAAGAAATGACAGCATGCATAAAACAACAACTTGACTTATAAAATGGAATTTCCGTGATAGAAGCAGTTCTAGTTATGATCATCTAAACTTTGGGAAATCCTAATGCAAAAAGAAACTTCACAAGGTCTGATTGTTTAAAACGAATTGGCCTTTGATTAGTGAACTGAACTCAAGAAATTACGCAAAACCGCATAACTAAGGTTGATACTTAAGTGTGCTTTTTGTTTTAAAATAAATTGAAGCTTAGGAAAAAAACTACGGCCCAGAAATTACTGAAAGAATAGAGTAATTAAATGAATGTAGACTATGTGTAGGTAGACTGAATACTTTTCCATAGTTTGGTTTGTAAGGGTTAGTTATGTTTTTACGAGTTGATCACGGATTGATATCAGTTAGAGAACCATTGAAAACCAGGGAGTACTGGACAGCTGCGTGATCAACTCGTAAAAACATAACTAACCTTTACAAACCAAACCTTAGAAAATTAATCTGATGCTCGCTAGTGACTTGCTACAGGATGGAGTTTCCTGAAGTTCAAGTGAGAAGTCGTGACCAGTGAGGTCCAATTAGATGTCACGTGTGCGGATGGATGTCCCACCAACGACAATGGTTGGAGTCGCGCTAAATCACGAATTGGTAGAAGTTAGAATTCATGAGCCATCGGATCGGGTCCCAGTGGCTGAATGGTATACGAGCTTGCCTTGTAACCGGAAGGTCCTGGGTTCGAATCCCATTCGGTGCGTACTGCCGATGATTCCCAAACAAGGATGAAACAGCAGCTGTGCAGTACTCCCTGGTTTTCAATGGTTCTCTAACTGATATCAATCCGTGATCAACTCGTAAAGACTGAATACTGGTTTTTTTATGTACAGTCTCCACATTCTGATAGTCAAATGGCTTATTTTTCGGCAAACTCAAGTATTTCTTTTGTCAGTTTGCTTATTGATTCCAATTGATATCAATATTATGATTGAAAATCAGTGAGCAATGTATGACTGGACTTTTCGGGACTCCATATGTGGCGATTAATGTGAATATTCCAAATTTTAAGGAAACTGATATTTGGAGATGTTCAACTGTCAACTTGAAATAGAATCGGAGAAATTAAAATTAATTATGGCAGTCCTATAGTGATTCTCCCATTCAATTATACGTTACACCTTTCTATACACTAAGGTTGACACAACTAGACTGACGATGTTATCGTGTTTGTTGACAAATATTAAAATATGGAACACAGGAACTTATTAACATCCTGGTTATAAGCTGCAAATCTGCATTACCCCTAATCAATACTTGTCCTTAATTTTTGGAGATAAGTTTCTTTCTAGTGGTGAGGTAAATCTGGTGTTTTATTTTCAGTAATGTCATAAGTAGTAAGCCGCCTTCCACATAACCGAAATTAAAATACAGAGCTATCTGACATTGATGGCTTTTCAGAAGGTGGTTTGAAATCCACTCATAAACAACACTTTGTTTTAAGGTTAAAGCTCAGTTTGATATATCTATCGTTATAAGGTTAGCATATGAGTAAAGTTAGTGACAAAGTGGGTGTTAGGAAGAGGCAAAACACATGCAATTATCAGGTCATCAGTCAAGTTATTATCGCGTTATTAGCAAGTCGTTGACATGCAATTGTTCCTGCTTCTGATTGGACGCTTGCACAATTCAAACTCTCAACCGGATTGGTTGATTTCCAGTCTACCTTATATTCTGTATAAATACAGTCACTTCTGTCATAATAAATGAACCTGGGTTTACTGTTGATTCTCTTCGTGTTCTGCTTTACCAGTTAAGTGAGCGGTGGGCAGTAGTTAAGCAGTGACCGGGTGACAAAGGATCTAGCATCATAACAGTGGGAGATACAAAAATTAAGTATTTAAAAGGCGTATTATATTCTTCCATGAGTACAAAGATAGTACTAAGGTTCAGCACTAGTTTTACCTATTTAATTTCCAAAATGTCATCAGGAACTGAGGTGAAAAATGGAAAATGAATATTTCTGTAGGTTTCGATAAGCTTTGGAGTTAATCCGAATGTTACGATCTTCGGGGCTGATTTTAATAATCTTTCATAGAGTAGCTGGTTTGTTTTGTTTTATCCTAGGATAGTAGCACATCGCTGTTAAATCTGTTGTACTAGTAGTATAATTTCACTCTTGGACCTCTTCAGTGTATTTTAAGTTATGGTTGTCACTGCTTTTATTCGAATGGCTATCATCCAACCTACTTTAATGGTTTATTGGAACATTGGAGTAGGCAGTTTGACCGTTACATCAAAGTGGCAGTTTTAGGCCCGGTAAGGCAAATGCACTAGATGAAGGGGTAAATTTTCTCGGCACTGTGAATATGCTATAATCGAATGATGTTTGTCTAAGGTAATCTGCATGTAGACTGTTTCTGTTAAGATAAATGCTTGTAAAAATAGATAACCATACAATCTTCATCTTTTGGAAGTTATGCGATAGTGAAAACTCTATTTTCTGTCTTATAAGTTTCTTTTTATGTGGATACAAACATAAGAGCAGTTTTACTGATATTATTTTTTCGAAATATATATCAATATTGTAGGTGCAGATACACCGTTTTACTTGGCAACTTTACCACCTGATGCCCAAATTCCAATCAATCAGTTTGTGTATGATCGGAAAGTGATCGCTTGGTGCAAATGAATGTAATACTCATAGCAGCTGGTTGCAATTATATCTATACATATATATATATATATATATATATATATATACTTGTGTAGACGTCCTTTTGTGTATTTTCGTATAATCGTGTTCTACTAGTAATTTTAGTAAAATAAATTATTCCGAAATTAAACAATACGCAGTGGCTTTCTCTTTTGTGTGTTCATTCATACTGATATTGAGTAGTTTTTTACTCAAAGTGAGATATACAGAATGAGTTTTGTATTTGTGTTTGTTTATTTTCAAGCGATCAATGAAACATATAGAGGTCGATTGTCACCTTATTTATAACATCTGTTGTGAACTCATTATTTTTATCTGAAGAGTTTTCTAGATATGAATATATAGGAACAACAAAGTTCAGCGAAGAGTCTCAATTCGGCGAATTCATTCACTTAGCTGTACAATCGCATTCACATATAATTATTTTGTGTGTGTGTGTGTGTGTGTGTACATTAGGATTGTCAAACAAAAATAATATAAAAATTAGTTAGGGTTACTGTTTAAGTCATCAAAATATTTTTAAAATGTGATGAATAATCAAAATTGTAACTAGGAGGGGGAGGGGTGAAAATTGGTAAGTATTGACAAGGATTGCGTAATATGAAATAGGTTGTTAATGGAGACACATGTCCAAAAAATAAATTACGTAATAGGTAGAAAGAGTAAATAAAGGGTTGGTTAAGAAGAAGGTGTCACTAAGATGCTATGAGAAATTCCAAAACCAAAACATTAATAACAAAGTTGTAGAACTTGGAATTATACCCAAGGTAGAAGGAGGGGATGGAGAAGTTTCTTCTATGTGCATAAATCAGGGTTTTCTATTTGGGTTGCTAAGGTCTCAGCAATGCAAGGTATACGGGAGCTTACTGTTTTTGGAGGCTTCTTTTGACTTTGTAGATGACTTTGAATGAATCCTCTGTGCACATTGAGTGACCGCTGTTGACTGTATGTTCAATCAAAACACTTTATTGATCCACTGTTACCTATTCACAACCAAGGGGATAATGTTCTTTGACTCTTTTGGATAAAACATGCATCGAACGACCTATATCTCTCTCTCCACATGAGAAAGTTAATTGGTAGATACACATAGAAGTGATCAAACGAGATAGTTTATCTTTGGAGTTGTTGAAGAACAATGGGTCACTTGAGAATACCAATCGTTATGTAGTAGCAGGGAATGTTCTTTTCAGGGCGTTAGATCTGACTGACATCTTAAAAAGAATATCTAACGCCCGGAAAAAGAACATTATTTGCTGGCCCATTGACTTAACTAACCGCCTTTCAACCAGTGAACTTGTTCAGGCCCTACTTTAACCTGGGGAACTGGGTAGTATCACTGGTCTTCAAGTAAAAAGTGTGGCTCGCATTCTGGACCCTGAGAACTTTGTCTCAGGTAGTTGGGTCATAATTAACTTCAGAAAAAGTTCTGTCAGTTGACTTGTTTCCTTATTCTTGGTTTGATGAATACAAATGAGATCAGGATTTTCATCATGAGCTGACATTAGTTAGAGAACCATCGGAAAACCTATTCAGGTAGGTAGTTACCTTGGGTTCTAGTGAGAAGTTGTGACCAGTAGGGTGCAGCAGGTTGGGTGTGAGGACAAATACTCGCCGAAGACATTGGCTAGGGGTCGTGAATTGGCAGAAGTTAGAATTCATGGGCCATCGGATCGGGTCCCAGTGGCTTAATGGTATACGAGCTCGCCTTGTAACCAGAAAGTCCTGAGTTCGAATCCCGGTGGGTGCCTACTAATGAAGAGTTCCAAACTAGGATGAAACAGCAGCTGTGCAGTACTCCCTGGTTTTCAATGGTTCTCTAACTGATATCAATCCGTCATCCAGTCGTAAAGACTGAATGCTGGTTTTTTTATGTACAGTCTTCACATTCTGATTGTCAAATGGCTTATTTCTCGGCAAACTGAAGTATTTCTTTTGTCAGTTTGCTCATTGATTCCAACTGATATCAATATTATGATTGAAAATCAGTGAGCAATGTATGACTGGACTTTTCGGGACTCCATATGTGGCGATTAATGTGAATATTCCAAATTTTAATGGAGCTGATATTTGGAGATGTTCAACTGTCAACTTGAAATAGAATCGGAGAAATTAAAATTAATTATGGCAGTCCTATAGTGATTCTCCCACTCAAATTACACGTTGCACCTTTCTATACACTAAGATTGACACAAGTAGACTGACGATGTTATCGTGTTTGTTGACAAATATTAAAATATGGAACACAGGAACTTATTAACATCCTGGTTATAAGCTACAAATCTGCATTACCCCTAATCAATACTTTTCCTTAATTTTTGGAGATAAGTTTCTTTCTAGTGGTGAGGTAAATCTGGTGTTTTATTTTCAGTAATGTCATAAGTAGTAAGCCGCCTTCCACATAACCGAAATTAAAATACAGAGCTATCTGACATTGATGGCTTTTCAGAAGGTGGTTTGAAATCCACTCATAAACAACACTTTGTTTTAAGGTTAAAGCTCAGTTTGATATATCTATCGTTATAAGGTTAGCATATGAGTAAAGTTAGTGACAAAGTGGGTGTTAGGAAGAGGCAAAACACATGCAATTATCAGGTCATCAGTCAAGTTATTATCGCGTTATTAGCAAGTCGTTGACATGCAATTGTTCCTGCTTCTGATTGGACGCTTGCACAATTCAAACTCTCAACCGGATTGGTTGATTTCCAGTCTACCTTATATTCTGTATAAATACAGTCACTTCTGTCATAATAAATGAACCTGGGTTTACCGTTGATTCTCTTCGTGTTCTGCTTTACCAGTTAAGTGAGCGGTGGGCAGTAGTTAAGCAGTGACCGGGTGACAAAGGATCTAGCATCATAACAGTGGGAGATACAAAAATTAAGTATTTAAAAGGCGTATTATATTCTTCCATGAGTACAAAGATAGTACTAAGGTTCAGCACTAGTTTTACCTATTTAATTTCCAAAATGTCATCAGGAACTGAGGTGAAAAATGGAAAATGAATATTTCTGTAGGTTTCGATAAGCTTTGGAGTTAATCCGAATGTTACGATCTTCGGGGCTGATTTTAATAATCTTTCATAGAGTAGCTGGTTTGTTTTGTTTTATCCTAGGATAGTAGCACATCGCTGTTAAATCTGTTGTACTAGTAGTATAATTTCACTCTTGGACCTCTTCAGTGTATTTTAAGTTATGGTTGTCACTGCTTTTATTCGAATGGCTATCATCCAACCTACTTTAATGGTTTATTGGAACATTGGAGTAGGCAGTTTGACCGTTACATCAAAGTGGCAGTTTTAGGCCCGGTAAGGCAAATGCACAAGATGAAAGGGTAAATTTTCTTGGCACTGTGAATATGCTATAATCGAATGATGTTTGTCCAAGGTAATCTACATGTAGACTGTTTCTATTAAGATAAATGCTTGTAAAAATAGATAACCATACAATCTTCATCTTTTGGAAGTTATGCGATAGTGAAAACTCTATTTTCTGTCTTATAAGTTTCTTTTTATGTGGATACAAACATAAGAGCAGTTTTACTGATATTATTTTTTCGAAATATATATCAATATTGTAGGTGCAGATACACCGTTTTACTTGGCAACTTTACCACCTGATGCCCAAATTCCAATCAATCAGTTTGTGTATGATCGGAAAGTGATCGCTTGGTGCAAATGAATGTAATACTCATAGCAGCTGGTTGCAATTATATCTATACATATATATATATATATATATATATATATACTTGTGTAGACGTCCTTTTGTGTATTTTCGTATAATCGTGTTCTACTAGTAATTTTAGTAAAATAAATTATTCCGAAATTAAACAATACGCAGTGGCTTTCTCTTTTGTGTGTTCATTCATACTGATATTGAGTAGTTTTTTACTCAAAGTGAGATATACAGAATGAGTTTTGTATTTGTGTTTGTTTATTTTCAAGCGATCAATGAAACATATAGAGGTCGATTGTCACCTTATTTATAACATCTGTTGTGAACTCATTATTTTTATCTGAAGAGTTTTCTAGATATGAATATATAGGAACAACAAAGTTCAGCGAAGAGTCTCAATTCGGCGAATTCATTCACTTAGCTGTACAATCGCATTCACATATAATTATTTTGTGTGTGTGTGTGTGTGTGTACATTAGGATTGTCAAACAAAAATAATATAAAAATTAGTTAGGGTTACTGTTTAAGTCATCAAAATATTTTTAAAATGTGATGAATAATCAAAATTGTAACTAGGAGGGGGAGGGGTGAAAATTGGTAAGTATTGACAAGGATTGCGTAATATGAAATAGGTTGTTAATGGAGACACATGTCCAAAAAATAAATTACGTAATAGGTAGAAAGAGTAAATAAAGGGTTGGTTAAGAAGAAGGTGTCACTAAGATGCTATGAGAAATTCCAAAACCAAAACATTAATAACAAAGTTGTAGAACTTGGAATTATACCCAAGGTAGAAGGAGGGGATGGAGAAGTTTCTTCTATGTGCATAAATCAGGGTTTTCTATCCGGATCGCTAAGGCCTCGGCAATGTAAAGTATATGGAAACTTACCATTTTCGGGAGGCTTCTTTTGACATTGTAGATGACTTTGAATGAATTCTCTGTGCATATTGAGTGACCGGTGTTGACTATACATTCAATTATAGCACTCCTTATTGATCCACGGATACCTTTTCGCAGCCAGGGAAGATAATATCCTTTGACTCTTTTGGATAAAACATGCATCGAACGACCTATAGATCTCTCTCCACATGAGAAAGTTAATTGGTAGATACACAGAAGTGATCAAATACGATAGTTTATCTTTGGAGTTGTTGAAGAATAATGGGCGTCATGAGAATACCAATCGTAATGTAGCAGCAAAGAATGTTTTTTTCAGGGCATTAGATCTGGCCAACGTCTTAAAGAGAAGAATATCTAACGCCCTGAAAAAGAACATTCTCTGCTGGCCCATTGACTTAACTAACCGCCTTTCAACCAGTGAGCTCCATGTTCAAACCCTATTTCACCTACTTTAACCTGGGGAACTGGGTATTGTATTATGGATCGTGAAAAATTTGTCTCAGGTAGCTGGATAATAATTGACTTCAGAAAAAGTCCTGTCAGTTGACTTGTTTCATCATTAGTGGTTTAATGAATACAAATGGGATCCATTTAATTTGTGATCATTTCAATTTTCGTCTCTAGGTCTGTCAACTATGGGTATTTCGTCATAGGATCATTTAGTTCACTTGTTCGTTATGTATTTTCTGATTGTATCTCGTCAAGCATATAAAACAGTGTAAGGTATTACTAGAGAGATATAAGCAAAGTTAACTAACTTTAGTAAGATTTAATTTGTTTATTGGAATAGCCTGTTAACTCTCATTTTTAAATAAGCTTAATAGATTTCAGTTTGCAGCACAGCACTCCTGGTTTCTTTTATTCTATTCACTTGTGAATATGAGTATAAATTGGCTTTAAGGCTCTTAAATTGTATGTATTGCCCAGCAATTCACTCTGTCTTTCCTTATAGGGCTGTGAGACATGGCGGTTGAAAGTGGAAGAACTGAAAAGGCTGGCCTTGTTTTACTGCATATGTTTACACTCTGTTTCCTGTGTTAAGTGGTTTAAATATAGTCAGTAATATTGTGATTAGGTGAAGTGTTGAGTAAGGAGGACAACTTAATTAATGAGATTGTGAAGTCTCTGACCACTGGTTTGAACGAGGCATGTTAGGAGGTGTATATTGGCTGGATGGGATCCTCGAGACGCTTAAGACTGCTAATGATATGGCTAGAAGTTGTTCTCATTGTCCAAGATGCATTCACTCTATAATTTCCTAGATCCATTTGATCCTTATATTTTTGCATGTAGTTATGCTTTCCCTTCATTATAGTTCTTTTGAGTCTTTTTCTTTTCTGCTTACCTTTTCGTGCTTTATGGAGTGTGCCAACTTGAACTGCTACATTAATGTGAAAAGTTCTACGTTAAATGCTCAATTCGTATGAAATTGTCAATTAAATTCTAAGGTGACACGATACACAGTTGTAACAACAGAAGACAAGGGCCAGGCAACAGATCGTTTATTGGGAAAATCAGGAGATATTTATAGATTTTTATGTACATAATTATTCATTATTGTTAGCAGAGAAGCAACGTCTTCTGAAGGTTATTCTGTCATCTCTTTGTTGCCGTTTCTTAGACAGTCAGTTGAAATATCTGCGAATCGTATCCTCCCACGTTAAGTCTGCTGTTATTGGTTGGTGGGTTCATCAAGGTTAGGCTTTGTTCTTGTTTTTTTTGCCATGACCCCGATTCGGAACGTAAACACTGACGTCAATTGTTGTCTACGATTTTTTCTTTGAGACAGCTCTCAGCACACAGTATGTATCTTCGGACTGTTTTTCAAGGTGTAGATAGAATACCAAGGAATTCGTGTATTTTAGGGAGAATTTTATCAATCCAGACGACGGATTAAGTCACAAAATTGATTAGAACCTATAAAACTAAATGTTACCCGGGTATCATGACAAATAATTGTGTTGTAAAGTTTGGGTGTGAGGGGTGGCTGACTATTATTATTATTATTATTATTATTATTATTATTATTATTATTACTGTCCTGGGTTCCGAGTGGGATGTAGGACTTCGGCAGCACACCTCCATTTTACTCTGTTCTCTGCAGTTTTTGTCAGGTGGTTCTACAATTGCTCATAATCCTTCATTTCTTCCCACATGTCATCCTCGGATGCCTAACGCATTGCTTCCCATTCGGGTTCCACTCTATAGCATGGCGGATGATATCACCCAGTGGATGTCCAGTTCCTCTCTATTTCTTTTTGCAAATTCTTTGAGCGATAGGTTCTTGCTAGCGGTTGGTGGAGGCAAATCGTATTTTGGAGGCAATTTTTTGAAGTAGAAAATTTCCACTACAAAAGTGGATACTCGATAACCTCATTGGCAAGAAGTGGACAGTTAGTCTACTTTTCAGTATGGAAAATAAAAATCCCCATTTACCTTTTAGTCAACTTTTGTTTGATGTGAATACACTGGAATGCATACTCTTCTGTAGTGAACAGATTACTTATGTCTAACCGCCTTGAATACACCTATCCTGCTGATATAAAGTTTATAAATAGAAATCAAGTTGTAAACAATATCAAATAATGTCATAAATTCAAATGAACTGTCGTCAAGATTTGACAGAACAGTTCCAAAATATTTGGGCGCCTAGTGAGAAGTAGACATTTGTAAACAATTATATTTGTAAAATCTCGGCGAGATTGAAATCTGTAAGTCCGAGGTCAAATTTCGATCACAGCTCATAAAATTTTGTTTATTATACTTGTTGATACCTGTTTCATGACTCATGATTGGACAAAGTTTTTAGAAACAAGAGATGCTGCTTTTCTACATAAACCTCTGTTATGTTAATTTGGATTAATTTCCCTGAAGAAGTTCGAACCAGATTGCCGGACGAAACGTTGGAATTACTCTTTAGAATCTCGCTGAGATTTGACAAATATAATTTTTTTACAAATTGTCATAAATATTAGCTTCAAACATACTTTATTTTACACACAACTTCATTACCTTTTTAAACGGCAGTGATGATGTTTAGAGTATACTTTCATCTTGTAAGATTATTTGAGGTTATCAGTCACAAAGAATGCGAATGCATGCTCAGGGACGTCATATTCATCATGTTATCGACGTGACTAGTTGACTACTGATGTCACTGTAAGCTGTTATCTATTGCAATCAGTTCTAGCCTATTATTCTCCTTTAACATATCCATTAGTATTATAATTATACTCCAAGATGTACAAATCAATGTTAAACGAAAAGAAAAAAATCATTAGTCTATTTTGACTGACTATTAAGTAATGGCTTAATGGTCTGCGAGCTCGCTAGCTTTGTGACCAGAAGGTCCTGAGTGCCAACCCTGGCGGTGGGTGCGTACTGATGAAGAGTCCCAAACTAGGCTGACGAAACAGCTGTCCAACACTCCGTGTAGGTTTTCCAGTGGTTGTCTAACTGATATCAGCTCATGATGAAATCCTTCAAACAATCAAACAAAATCCCTACAAAACCAATCCTTGAGAATAATGGCTTCATTAGTTGTATCAAAGCAAAGAGGTCAATTCACAACATACCACTTATTGATTAGTTAAATAATTCATCCACCTTAAGTTGACCTTAAATTGACCGATATAGTTTCATTTCTACAGAATTGTTAACTAGTTACTTGCCTTTCTAAATTGTTAGGACTAAAATCTTTCTTAGTTCTGAAAAATTCTCTAGGACACATACACGGAATTCATCAATACAATACAGATGTAACCTGTTATAGATTTTTATTTCTATGACTATAACTAGAAGGGTGAATAGGACGGAAATGTTGTGTAGAGGTTATTATTGTCGTTCGTGTAAATATCGGGTATTCAGGTTTTCGCATGCAAATTCTATGATTGATTTACTTGTTATTATTTCAGGACAACAAAAAATCTATTCTTCGTTCGATCTATAGATATGGATTACAAATTAATCACTTAAACTATTATTATTATTACTAGTTATTTATTCCTTGTTTTCCAAGCACATCTCTATCACACTCAAATTTCTGTCATCAACTTCAGATGATATGATGATTGCTCCGAGGCTTTCATTTCTTCCTCATGTGATCTCCATGTCGTCTTCCGACTTCCAACTCGTCGCTTTCCATTAGAGGATCTAGTGTGTGATTCACCTCAAAGTCTCCCCATTTTATGTCCAGTCTATCTCCACTTCCTTCTTCATATTTTCTGAGCAATAAGATTTTGGGTGTTTCGTTGCTATAGTTTCTTG